GTTTATAGTACAGACCTAAATCCAGGAGGCAGGCTTAGCTAATCTTGGTAGGGGCAGTGTCTAAGCATAAATATGGGGTCGGAGAAGCTATGGTGAACATTTTTTGCACACACTATCAACATCTATATCTCGACTTAGAGGAAGATCTTGCCATCCCTCTAAGCCTCAGGGATTGGGGGGCTTTGCCATTTTCCCATGTGGCTGAGGGGTTAGAGTCCTTGACATGGCTGTACCTATGCCAACAGCACATATTCACTCAGGCCATTCTCCATTCCCCACAGTTGTGGGAACATAAACTACATATTACTCAGTTAAAAACTCTTGTTTTGGGGAAAGTCCTTGTGTTGAAGCTAAAATGTGCATACTTTACAGTGAAAGGTTTCTTCCTTCCTTCCTTCCTTCCTTCCTTCCTTCCTTCCTTCCTTTCTTTCTTTCTTTCTTTCTTTCTTTCTTTTCTATCTTTGGAAATATAAAAATTTTGTGCATTGCCCTGCACAGCAGGGTATTTTTTTTTTTCCTTCGAGACAGAGTTTCTCTGTATTGCTTTGGAGCCTGTCTTGGAGCCCTCTGCCTCCTGCTGGGATTAAAGGCATGCGCCACCAACGCTCAGCTTGAATGTATCTTAAAATGTTAAATATTAATGGTTTCCCTGTTTTGTTTTTGGTTTTCTTCTATATTAAATTTTCCACATGATAATCCTTAATTTTTGCTTGATTCATGTGTATATTTCTGGGTTGTGGAAATTGACCATGTCCTTTTCATAGTGTCATGTCTTGGCGTATGTTCTGAAAACTATATATGGGTCTAATTTGTGGGTATCAGTCAATTGTGAAGGGTTCGGATGAGCCGAATCTTACCGTCCTTTCAGTGACCTGAGGGTCACCATTGATGTTCTGGGACTTTCCTTGTAGCCCTCATTATCCTGTTAAAATTTCAGCTAAGCGTATTTTACCTTATTGGTAGTGAAATGCGTTGGCGCTCTTTGGCTCTGCCACTTCCCGTATGTGACATTGGGATGCTGTTGCATCTCCTTTGTGAAGTGAGCTGAGGGTAATAGCATCCACTGTGAAGAACTTGTGGAGATGGAGTGCTCTTCCATGCTTAGCACAGCAAAAGGGATCATCACAGCTCTACCTTTATTATAATGGTGGCCAGGTGCTGGGAGAGCACTACGGTGGAGCACTGAGGTGGAGCACTAAGCCAGCCTTAAGCAGTGATCACACAAAAAGGTTCCTAAGGGTTGTCATGCCCCAGCAAATTAGCCAAGAGGAAGAAGGGAAAGCAGGATGCTTCACTAGAGATGCTAAGGGTTTTTCACAAGAGATAATGGAAGAGCAAGTGGGGAACCAATCATGGTCTCCCATTCAATTCCTGGGAAATGGGGACCCACACAAGAATCTGTGTGGAGCTGGATCCATGGGGACTCGTGGAAACAGAATTCCACTGGAGATTCAGAGGGACCTCTGAGAAGGTGTTCTGAAGGTTCCTAGAGGATGGAGAATGCTAGGACCAAGGGAGATGGGCAGGTCAGCACCTTTACCTCACACTTACTTCTTAATTCCTGGGCCATTGGAAGTAAAACCAAAGAAAGGTAAGGCTGCCTGTGCATGGACTATATGGGCTGTAGTGTGGAGTTCTCAAGTGGAGAAGTCTCCTGAGACAGTACTGTTAGGTGACCACTGCGCTCTCTCTCTCTCTCTCTCTCTCTCTCTCTCTCTCTCTCTCTTGTGTGTGTGTGTGTGTGTGTGTGTGTGTGTGCAGCAATCTGATCTGGGCAAGTAAAGACAAGTTCTCTGGTGTTTTAGAATTGCAAAGTTGTCTTTCCTTATAGCATGTAATGAAAATGTCATTTTATTTTCCTTCTGATTTTCATTTCCTTAACCTTGTTTCTGGGGTTGCAGTTTTTCTTGACTACTTTCTAATTCTCTGTAGAGATATGTAGTTTAAAAAAATGAAAATGCATCAGAAAATGATTCACATGTAAAGTCTTCACTCCTGAGTATGTGCACATAAACAGGAAATATGAACCATAGCAACCGACTTTGTTGGCTTTGGCTGGAGTGCTTCGCTGTGCTACTTGGAGGAAGAGTCATACATAGAAATACAACTATGTGGGGTTGTGGGCAGCCATGAAGAGAATGTTTTCTAGAGCAAGGAGAGGCACTTCTTTGTCATATCATCTGGAATCACTTCCATCCTAGAGAGCAATTTGGATACCGTGGGCTTACAGACCAAATGAACAGGTGCACAGCTAAGGCTGTGCCAGAAAGTGACTTTTCTGGAATGCCTACAGACCTTATTAAAATGTGCTGAAAGCGTTTGTTCCTTCACCCTTCCCAGTACAGCCTTACCTAATGTGGAAGACATGAAAACAAAAAGGCAGTGGCTAGAGCTGATCTTACATTTCCACCTAAATACAGGCCCTCTGTCCATGAAGCCTCTGGCAGTGGACAACAGACAGCCAAGATTGTGACCCATGAGAGAAGATGGTAATTTGAGGGTCCTTTGTCCTATCCTGTATCCATTTTCTGCCACAGTAGCTGTGGCCAGCGCTGGGAGAGCCTGTGGTCTCATAGCCTGCAGGTGGAAGGTCTGTAGCTTAGGGCTGCCGAGGCTGGAATTTGCACAGCAAGATAATGGAGAAAGAAATACTTGAGGGCCGAGATCTCCATGTGATCGTGGAGATGAGAGAGCAGCTGCATCCAGGCAGTGAACAGAAAGACGGATGTCTTTCTTACCTTAGCCATGCTATCAGCAAATTGGACCGGCCACCTCTCAAGGAGTAAGGACAGTACTGTAGATGAAGGCCACTTGCTCATTGCTAGGGATATAGTCGAAGTGGCTCCATCTTAACCAAATGTAGACCCTGGAGCCACAGTTGGTGAGGTCTTCCAGTAACTTAGCCGCCACAACTGAACTGAGCCCCTCAAGGTGTCTACTTTATGACAGAAGGGAACGTGTGGCTCATATTTAGAATGAAGATGAACAAGCTGAAACAGACTGACTGGAAACCAGTCCTTACAAATCTTGGTCTCTAGCATTCTTCTCTGAGAAGACCCAGGACTCTTTGGAGAAATGACTTCACCCAGAACAGAGACAGGACAGATATAAGATTAAGTCCCAAACATTTTTTAATGTGAGAAAGAGAAGAAGTAAAGATAAGGAAAAACAAGTACAGAGTAGGCATCTGGCAGGGGCTGTCACTGGCTAAGTCTGAGTACCAGTGTAACGCGCAGGAATCAAGTGGGAATATGTCATAAGAAGAGCTGCATGTGTTTGTACTAAGCCTAACTGCTTCGCTCGGTGAACAGTGCTGGAGAATGCGGATAATGAGTGAGCAGTACTGTGGAAGGAGTGTTGGCGTCAGTGCGCTGCACCTGTCATTAGGTAAAGTGTGCAATCGGAAGACATCAGGGATACCTGTCGAATTTTCCTTCTTCTTTCCCTCTCCTCTTTCCTGTCTTCCCTCTTTTTCTCTTCTTTGTCTTAGGCAGGGCCTTACTATGTATCTCTGGCTGGCCTTGAACTCATGGTCTTCCTGCCTCAGTTTTCGAACTGTTGTGATTACGCAGGGGCAGGAGGGAGGATTTTGAGGTGGGACAAGGTATTTGGATGGTCTTAAAATGTTTTTCCCTAGATGAAGTATTAGTTGCAAGGAGAAAGAAATGCCGTGATTTCTTTCTGTTGAGTAAGGTGGTATTACATTGGGGTCAGATAGACCTGGTACGTTCAGATGTGATATTCAGAGAGATTCTCACTTGGGAATTTTCTGGCTAAGCAAACAAGCTATTCTGATTCATACAGAATCACTCGAGGAAAGGCCGGATAAGCCAAAATGGAAATGTTCCATCAATTTAAAAGGGAGGCGCCTCATTCCTCTCAAGGTTTTTGTGACGACAAAGGGGTACTGTGTGTGTTTCAGATTAAAGAGAAATAGGAGCGAAATGCTTTATCTAACCCTAGCTGCATCCTGAATTGGAAGAAGTCTTATTAAAAAAAATCCTTATTAGGGCAACTGAATATGGTCTGGATTAAAGCATCGGTACCCAGATTGATGACTGCATTGTGATTGCCTAAGAGTATTCCTATTCCTTGGGGATAATTTCTGAAGTTTTTAGAGAAAAAGGGCCATGATGTGTGAAACTGATCTTCATATGGCTCCAGACAAAAGTGCTAAATGTGTGTGTGGAAGATAGCAAGTAAATGTGCTAAATGCCAGCAAGCAACCCCAGGTAAGGGCTACCTGAGTTTTTTTTTTTTTTTTTCTTTTCAACTTTTCTTAGATTTGAAATTATAAAGATGTTAAAAATTCATCAGTGATAAATAGGACTTACAGGGCAGAAGAGCGTATGTGAGAAGGACACAGATTCATCTGCCTGTGTATGGATTTTCTACTCTGAGAGTTGCTTTTCTAAGTGAACAGTTTTATGGCAGTGTCTCAGTCACTTTGCCGACAAGGGCACTTCTGCATCTGTTGGCTGAAAAGGTAGACCAGCAGATTTAATGCAAGAAGAAACAATACTGATTCCACCTCCCAAGTGCTGGGATGCAGGAGCCACAGATGGGGAATTGAACCTAAGGCTTTGACATGCTAGGCAGGCACTTTCCTGGCTAAGCTATGTGCCAGCCCTCTCCTTTGTTCTTTGATACTTGTTAGCGGAGTAGTTTGGGGCAAGTTTTCTAACCATTGGGAATGTCAATTGCTGCTGCATTTAAGAAGAATATTCTCAAGACACAGTGTATCCTCAAAAGTGTGAGGTTCCAGTGAGGAACTCATTGAAAATGAGAATGATTTGTTTTCCAATACTGACATACTACTAAGAGTTTTGATTATAGATGAAAAATGGCCCAGGCTAAACTAGAGATTTTCCTTAATTTGGGTGGTCATTTCTCCTCTTAATGGTGAAGATTTTTACCCAGTTAAGTGAAGTTTCTTTCTGTGGTGGACACTTGGTTCCTTTGATTGACTTCTTTGTCATTTGCTGCCTTTGTTATTCTAGGCAGAGCTTCAGTGGCTGAAGGAGCTGTGATCTTTCAAGCACAGTGCAGTTGGAGCAGAGCGGGGTGTGTGTATGTGTGTAAGAGATAGCACAGGTAAGTGAAACTGTGCCTCAGTCATTCTCAAGGATTCAGGGATCCTTGTATTTCTTCTTGCTTTGCTTTGAGATTGAGTGTCCAGCTCTGGTGGTGGTGAGAGAAGTCTCAAGGAAAAATTGACCAAGGAAATGTCCCTGGCCTTTTCTTTGTTTGGGGTAACACCAAGCTCCTAAATCATGTCGAGGAGACTTATTTAGTTGAATGCTCAGCCTGGTTTAGGCTTGTTTGTAGCTAGCTCCTTTAACTTAAATTAACCTGTTTACCTTTTGCCTTAGGGCTTTATACCTTTTCTTTTTATGTCCTACTTTTCTTGCTTCTTCTGTGTCTGTCTGGCAGTTACCTGGTTGGCCCCAGGCATCTCTTTCTCCCTGGTTCTCTCCTTTCCTTCCCTCTTCTGAGCCTAGATTTCTCCTCCTGTGTATTCTCTTTGCCTGACAACCCGGCCTATTTCTTTTCTTCTTAACTATTGGCCATTTAGCTCTTTATTAGACCGTAGTCAGGCCTTTATGAGTGCCTTAGTCAGGCAAGGTGAAACAGTAACACATCTTTTCATAATTAAACAAATGCAGTATAAACAAATGTAACACACCTTTACATAGTTAATATTCTACAACAAGGAGAGGCCATTATTTTTTTTGGGGGGGGTGCGAATAGAGTTGGAGAGGCCAGTTACCCCATTAGAGGAGGCCAGCAATGTGGCTAGGCAGAATGACAAAGGCTGCCTACAGGAAGTGACCTCCTCCTGAGTCATATAAGCCCCAGGATTTTGGAAGATTCCGGGAAGGCTTAGGGTGTCATCCAGGGGCAGTTACCCTTAGTCCTGGTTTGCTTTCAGTTGAAGTCTTTATCTTAGAAGATTACAGTTAGCAAGTATGCTTCCTTCTTTGTACTTGGCCAGTCTATGCCACTGCTGCAAACATTGCCAGTGAGGTGTAACAAAGACCTTCACCAAATGTTCTGGTTAATGCCATGAAGATAACTCAGAAGGCACCAAAGTATGTCAATGTCACATTAAGGAATGGAAGCAAAGCAGTTTCTCCTTGGCTTAATTTGATCAAGCATGAGCCCAAATTTCATTCCTCTACCACCCTCCTTGCGCCTTCTGACTGGTTTGTGGTTGTCAGCCTATTTGTAATCTGTCTGTTGTGGGTGTCTGTGCCTGATGCCTGAGACTTGTACCCCGGTGTGTCTGAATCTGAGTCTGTCCCTCCAAAGGGCTTTGTTCTGAATTTACTGGACAGCAGAGAGAATATGGGGGGTGAGGTGATTCTTTACAAAATCTTTAACAGAGTCTTACAAGAGGAAGAAGTTACCTTATTGACCCAAGTGGCCCAGAAGAGCATTTAACACTACAAACGATGTTTTCAGGATGAATCCTCATGCTGTTTCTAACATTTATGGTCTAACATAATAATTATGGTCTAACATTATGGTCGTAAGGCTCTTCCAGCTAGCTTGTTGGCTGATTACCATGTTAGACTCCCGGAAAAACTCAGGTCTCCGGGGTCCCAGGCCATGACCGTGGTCACCCCCAATCACCAGGCAGATTCGAGAGCTTGGTGCAAACTGCATGAAGCTTTATTGTTTTTTAACGAGCTAACCCCATGTTAGCTCGGGTCTTTCATCCACCCACCATGGCTGATGGCTAGCAAAGACCCCTCGAACTGGCTGCTAAGTGATCTTGTAGGGCAGCGTAAGGGGAGTGTCTAGGGGTATGCACAGGCTCAGGATTGGTGTGCCTCCAGGCTTGGAGGGCTTGTCCTGTGTTGACTGGCCAATTGGTTGTTATGGCCCATAGGCCCTCCCAGGGTGGTTGCTATTCTCTGCTCGTCATTGCTGTGCACTTGTCCGTAAAGCACACCCAGTGCAGTAAAGCATAGCGCCACCAGCTAACTTCTGATTGGTTCCTTGTCACGAGGCAGGCACCTAACCTCTAGTGACTAAGGCAAGGTCATAGCGAGCACATGTTACTGTAATGGCTGCCGAAATGGGGGGCTGGTCCCTTCACCATAGCATACATATACACACATGCACTATTCTGGGTCAGGGACACGAGAGATCACACAATTTTAAGATTAAAGCTGTGCACTTAGCTTGTAAAAGCTTGCATGGGATATCCAAGACAGTAAGGTGTATTACCTTGTTCTCTTAAAGGGGGGTTAAAGGGCCAGGCGGTGGTGGCGCATACTAAAGTTGGACGCAAATAATGCATACCTCAAAGGAGTCAGACCAAGTTTGGGATGAATAGATGTTTTAATAGGAAAGTACTCACGCAACCAGTCAGTCCTCTACACCAGGCGAACCATGGAACAGAGAGCGCCGCCTGCATGCCACCCTCATATTTAAGGTCTTACTATGTCACTGACCACACCCTAGTGTGCGTGGTCTGTGTCACCTGTGCCAGCCCCCGAAAGGGCGTGGCTAATATTTCCCCTACAGTATACTTTTAATTCCAGCACTTTCGAGGCAGAGGCAGGTGGATCTCTGTGAGTTTGAGACCAGCTTGGTCTATAAGAGCTAGTTCCAGCACAGCCTCCAAAGCCACACAAAGGTGGGTTAAAGGTAAATAGGCCAAGTAGGACAGACAGCAGGCCAAGAACACAGTAGGACAGCAGGCCAAGTACACAGTAGGACAGTAGGCCAAAAATACAGTCTTAAATGATTTCAAACAGTATTATTAACCTAGCTGCAAGGTCCAGTAAAAGTTCAGATTCTTTGGTGTCAAGAGATATCTTCAGAAAAATGTATCACTGCAACATAGACTATAAAAACTAGCTGCATGACCTAAATAGTATCTTTATGTCACTGTCAATTGCCAATCTAGCATATCTACTATGCCTGGGATAATTACTATATACATAATTACTGTATACATAAAGACAGTATTGCTAAGTTTTGCTTGTTTTCAGGCTTGATAAGAACAATATATTGCATGTAACATTTTTACAACTTGCGCTTTTTGCTTGGGTGTGCTGTTATAGTGAGTCACCTTTTATTGGTCAAACAGGATCTGCAGTTAGAATCTATTGCAGTTCATCTGTGGTCTCACTTCCCTCCAATATTTGATAATTTTGTTGCCGTCCTAGTGTGTGTGTGATAATGTATTCTAAGTTGCTCTTCTTGGTGAATCACAGGATTGCACCTGTTCTCTTTTGTAGAACAGAGCTCACAATTTCAGTGTAGACAAACCTTTTCGATCTTTCCCTTCTCCCATCTTCTGACTATGGCTCCTTTTCTGGTTTGCTTTGTATCCCAGGATGCCTGGAACTTGAGATCCTCCTGCCTCATCCCCTGAGAGCTGCATTAACTTCTTTCATTCTTTCTATGCATGGTGGATGCATCTTATTTCTATTTTGTTTATTGGAATATAATTGAACATTTTTTCCATGTGGTCAACTTTCATTGTTTTAGATTGAAATATCTGTTGGTTTATATCCTTATTCAGTTTCTCTTATGTGTTGAATTTCTCTTCTAATAATGGTCCTGAAAGTACTCTGTGGACACTTGGCAGCTTGAAAAGCTCAGTCATCATTTTAAGTATCCTTACTCCTTTCCAGAATAATACAAAACTCACGGGGCCACTAATGTTCTTTCTGAACTTAGATGCTTTTGTCAAAACTTATAAAATTGAGCCACCATAAAAAATAGATATGTAAATTTAGGACAGTATTTTTTTTAATTGTACATCTTTACCATGTCTCCCCCTTTCCTCTTCCATCCTGTACCCTGCATCTTACCAGCTTTATCCTCTTCAGAAGGCTCTTCGCCGAGAGCCCCCTGGTTTTGGTTTCTGGAATGTCTGAGTCTCACCCTTCCAGTTCACAGCTGACAATTACTTCCAGATGGCCTTGTAAGCACATTCTCCCAATGTGCTACCACTGCGTTTCTTGTCAGTGTTTATAAGACATCTATGAAGTCTCTGTGTGCTGGTCTTTAGTGGATGGTTTCACTTACTCCAAGGTTACTTGGTTGGTGTGCAGTTTGTTGTTTTTGCCTTGTTTTTAATGGTGCATTTCATGTATCTACAGATCGCCTGTCATTATCAGCCCTGAAAATGCCCTAGTTATTAGTGTTCTAAACACCGTCTCCTATTTATTCTATTATCTCCTCCAGTTATGGTTAAATTAATGTCAGGACTACTTTTTCCTCTCAGCTTCTTTATAATGCCTGTTTGAAGTTTGCTCTCTTTTCTGCTTCTTTTTGTCAACTTTCTCAAGATTGAACTTCTAGCTTAATAATTTTCTCTTCTGCTGTATTGAATTTTCCTCTGAGATCTTACTTTTAATGATCTATTTTCTTTTTCGAAAGTTCTGTTTCTGCTTTCAAGTCTGTAAGAATACCTTTGATGAGGTTTTTCTGCTTTATTTCTTATTTCATGTTTTATATTCTTAACCAACAATAAATAGTTATTTCATCCCTTATATTTGATAATGCCAGGATTTAAACTCCTTTGTGCTCTGAGTCTGTATTCCTCTTCCCCAATGTGCAGATTGAGTTTGTTATTTGCTAATAACATAAATGGGGCTTTTATCTGAGAAGATTGTAGTTAACAATGATGAGCTGTCTAAGTTAGCTCCAACGGGAGATCCTGGCTGTCTGGGAGGTGGAGGCAGGAGAATTGAGTTCCAGCCCAGTCCAGGAAGCATAGTAAAACACTGTCTGAATAAAAAAACAAGCAAACAAAAAATTAGCCAAGTGTGGTGTCATATTATAGTCCCAGCACTTGGGAATCTGAGACATATTTTTTGTCAGCTTGTGCTACATAGTGCGTTTTTAGACCAGTCTATGCTATATAGTGAGACTTTGTCTTACCTCACCTTGCCCTATGAAGTCACTTGATAATTATATCTTGGAATCTCAAGGTATCTCAACTTCTACAGACTATGGACCCAGGACCACCTTTTGTTTCTGAAAAGCTAGCTATCAGATTCCCTGCACTGTGGCTGGAGTCTTAGTTGTCTCCTGCAGTGTCGTCATTCTGCTATGACTACTCTTCA